GCATGGCACCAAATTTTAGCTCCAATATTCATGCTCATATGAACTACATCTACAACATTTGAGATGGCAAATTTTCTAATAAAATCTACATTCAAAGAAACAAGAATAAAGCTTGTAACATATTACAACTTTAAATCACAAACTATGAACTACAAAACCCAAAAGGATTCACCAACTACTAGACCTAGGCTCTGATACCACTTGAAGGAAAAATTTGTGAAAACATGTTCATTTAAGCAACATCATATAGCATGCAATTAACAATTAAAGGCGGAATCATGCTAGCATGCACTTAAAAACAAAACATTAACCAAGAAATTCAAAGCCTAGTAGATTGGTGAACCATTAATCAACTCAAAACAAAGTGAGTTGAAATTTATACCTTTGAAGATTCCTCTTTGCATAAGCAAAGGCTAATCACCCAAAGAGAGGGCCTTCATTCCTTGCATCTTAAATCTATGGATTTGGATGGAAGAATAGGTTTCTCCAAGTTCCCAAAATAGGGAACCTCTAAGTCTCTTCACCAAGGAGAGATTGGAGAAGATATGAGTGACCTTGGAGTAGTAGGATTGCTAGATGTACCCCCCAAGGTGGCTGGCCTCTTTAGAGAGAAATGGAGAGACATGTTCTCTCCAATTTTCCCCAAAAAAAAAACCCTAATGAATTTTAGGCTATACAGTCATATTTATACCTTTATTCATTTGAGTGGCAAACTTGTAAATAAGTCCAAGTTCATTACCCTTAGCATCATGGCCGGCCCTAGGGTATTTTGGGCTAATTAGGCCTTTGTGAATCATTATTCATTAAGTTGTCATACAACTTAAATCAATGGACTTGACGTTCGAAGCCCATTGGGCCTTAAGGTCCAAAACTATCCCCGAGGTCTTTAACGAACTTATTCGTTTGATTAATTAACATATTAATTAATCCTTGCCATAAATAAATGATTAAACCATTTAATCATTCTTACTCATCTCCGTTTAATCTCCAATCTCCACCTCTTATGGTGTGCGATCCATTAGGTTCCTTTTAGCGAGGCAGTGGGCGATTAAAACCATTTTTACATCGATTGTGAATTTGAAACTTACTTTCAATTCTCCCTTTAGTGATTACACACGTTTAGGGCTTCCACAAACCATGAGTGACACCTAGCAGCATATCATGGTTACCCAAGCTAATCAGAAGAGGTCAGAGAACCTATTCAGTTTGGGATTACAAATGCAATACGGTCTTTCTCTAATCTAATACTCTTGACCACATTGTTTGGTTTGATAGTTTATATGTTCATGTCTACTATCCAATGTGATTCGTGTGCTTATATGATTTCCTTGAATGTGATTTAGAACGACTTTTCTAAATCTCATTCATACTCTGGCCAGAGATTCTAAATCATATCATAGAGTATTCTCCCTCAAACAGTTTGAAGGTTAGAGATCCCTTGTTGCGCATTCACTTGCCTCCATGGCTAAGTGGCTTAACCCCAACGATGCCGTGGACACCTTCCTGATGGAGTGACTTTGACATAATCAAAGATCAAGGACTTAACCACAAGACAACTATGATGCCTCAGGTCAAAGGACTACTTTGCATTATCCCAACCATGAGTTCTCATGTGACATGAGTATGAGAACTCTTCGTCGATCACGTTCAGTGAACTCATTCTCTATTGAGCACCTACATACTTGTCTTGATGTCACACACACCAATGACTCGAGACTAGTCATTCTCCCTGAGAGAAGACATAGCACGTACCGATCTTGATGGACTGTCAATGCCCAATTGGCAATCCTATGATCAGGAACATTTAGGAAGTGTTTACGAAAGAATGGTCTCATGAATCTAACTTCATTAGATTACATTCTCCCAATCACATATTCCTTGGACTTTATCGTTTAAGCATATAACATTTATATGAGACGGCTCAAACAATAATCTTTGCCCTTTATATTAAACTAGATTAGTTTAACATGTGAAATGTCCGTAAAGTATCATCATATGATTGGCTTTAGGGCACATTTCCAACAGCTTGAGCTCGAATGGGTCCTCATTAAACCTCAGGAAAACATTTAATGCTCTATATGTTTGAATTTACCTAAATTTCGAGGTGCTAACCTATGTATAACTTTTGGTGATTCCCTAGATTTGTTCCGGTAACGCTTGCTGTTGAACTCTGGCGAGTTCGTGTGTGGTGTGTGTCCGTGTGTGTGTGTGTGTGTGTTTGTAAGCGTGTATGTGTGTGTGTGGTGCACGTGTGTGTGTGTGTGTGTGATGTGTGTACTATGCACCCGTGTGAGTGTGGTGCACGTGTGTGTGTGTGTGTGTATTGTGTCGTGTGTGTGTGATGTGTGTATTGTGCACCCATGTGAGTGTGTGTATGTTGTTGTGTATGGGTGTGTGCGTGTGTATGTGTATATGATGTGAGTGTATATGTGTGTATATGACATGTACTGTGTGTGCTGTGCATGTGTGCATGTGTGCTGTGCATACATGTGTGTTTGCTAGCGTGTGTGTATGTGTATTGTGTGAGTTTGAGCTCAAGCCCAAACCACCCCTTTTGTTCCTAAACTATCCAAACCCAAAACCCAATAGGTGATATTTAACCTAAACCTAAAACCTAATCAGGATCCAAACCCAAGACCCATTTCCATTTCTTGAAATTCTATAGCTGGGTAGTTTGATAAATTGTACATTTTTGTGCTTAGGTGAAGTTGCTAGTGGGGATTTCCTTAATCCTTTTCCTCACAACTCTGCTGCTAGGGAGTATCTATGAGTGGACCCCTTTTAAAATTACATGATTTCATAGTTTAATTGCATAAATGAATAACATGTCTTACGAGTTTATAAACTGATTTTATGTTAAGCATGTTTATGGAAAATGTTGTTTATCGTCTTGTTTTTGGTGAGGAATTAATTGTTGGCCTATATTGAGCTATATTTTAATATATCGTATTTTATATAAAAACCATGAACTAGTAGACTATTTGATGGATGACGATAGGATGCTAGAACATGTTTTCAAAACCCTTCTTTATAGTATAGATGATGGATGACTTTATACTATGAAGTGGTTATTTATGAAAGGCGTAACTATTTGTGCGTACCTAGTGGACACTATGCCGCCTGGGGCGAGGATCTGGTGTTGGCAGATAGGCCAGGAGAAATAATCCCTAGCTACGGGCTGAGGGACACGGAGCAAGCATTGGGCCGGGAGTTGGTGATCTCTGGCTACGGGCGTAGAGACCATTGTGCTGACATAAGGCCTGGAGTTATATTTATTCAGTGATCTTACTGGCAGCAAACCGCGCTTACGAGAGAATCTGTGAGATGTTTGATGTTTTGATTTCCGCGATTTTATTCCGTGATATGTCTTTAGAGATTTTTTGGCATGCTAGGGTTTTCAGTAAACCTATCATTTATGATGCTAGTAGTTTTCTGTATATAAACTGTGGGGGTTAGTATCTTGATAACTGTTTTATTATTACTGTATATATGAACTTGGTCCACTCACCTTTGTTTTGCAGCCCCATTCAGGACTTAGAATCGAGGCATATAATCCCGGCGTCAAGGCACTTTCGTAGCGGCATCTTCGAGTCCTCTTGGTGTAGGACTTGCTCATTTGTTCATTCAATTTTATATTATTTCTTTTAGTATTTTGGTTAGTTGTATGCTTTGAACACGTTCCTTAAATGCATATTCTTTATTCTTTTATATTTATAAGTCTTAATTATTCCTTATTTTCAGCCTTTGCACACAATAAATAGCTTTCGTCACCCTCGGGTGTCGGCCAACATGTGCCTATCCTGGTATTCGGGGAAATATCGGGATCGGGGCGTGTCATCCTGTTCATGTTAGACTACCTTTGCATGAACTCGTGTGTCAGCATATGTCGATGAGCACTTGTTATGATATATTTGCCTATGCTAGATTATGTGCTTACTAACATAATGTGTTTATGTACGAGATTTGTGCCGTATTGATATCTTGATATTTTGCAGGCTATGGTAAATATTTTCTTACAATACGTAGTATGTATATTTTGAAAACTATACTTGTTTTACGGCGAGGGGTTACAATGTTTTCATAAAGGTTTTATTTATTTATTTTATTTTATATAAAACTTTATTTTTAGGCCCACTCATCTTTATTTTTTGCCCCTCCAGGTTTTAGTAGTTGAGATTTCGTATCGATGAGGACTATTGGCAAATCTCAGTATAAGTGGTTATCTCCGAGGGTATAATTCTCAATCCACTTTACTACACTTTAGCTATGCTATGACATCACGTGTGAAATGAGTTCATTCTCGCTCACCAACGCACTTTTATATTTAGGCATTTTTAGGTTTAAATTTATTCACATTTTCCACATTACTACACTTTACGGCTAGCACATCTCGATTCGGAGTCCTAGTGGACATTTCGGGTCGGGGTGTGTTAGTTGGGCAAATGGAAAAGAACCAAAAAAAAAAAAAAGTGGGCTAGCCAACGAGCTGGCTAAAGATGGCCAGTCGGTTGGCCTTTTGGACCTTTTTTGTCCTGTGGGGCCCACGAGCCCTTTGGCCTAGCCATCGGTTAGAGACAGTTTTCGGGCTATTTTCGGCCCTCTGGACCCTTCGGTTGGAGATGGTCTAAGAAGTGACCAACTCATATGATAAGGTAATGAAGGGCCTCAGGGCGTGCAACTCTTTTAGATTCGTAAGTAACTAAGCGTGCAACTCATATGTTAACGGCTGATTTAACAACCACCTTAACGAGTGTATGAAAGTGTCTCAAAATTATGAATTTAGATACCACTCTAGAATGAAAAAAAACTTGATGCACCAAATATTAAAAACCAAAAAATTTAAAGTAATAACTGAGATTAAGCAAAAAGAGTAATACATTACCGAACGAGAACCAAGTGTAGGAGGGAACACTACCTAGGCCAAGAGTGGGAACCAAAATAGGAAACGCGTTTTACAAGTGTTGGGCTGCTGTCACCGAAAATAAAATGGCAGATAATAGGACTCGGCGGTGTTGCCGCCGATAAGACCGTCACCAGAAACCCTAGTCTCTCTCTCGGTTTTTCTTAATTTTCATTTCTTATTTATTAAATTAAAGTCACAAATTAAATATTATCCCTAGTGCAGAAACACGTCGTTGCGTTTGCCCTTGCTTTTGCCAGTGTTTGTTTCAGATTCCCTCCTCCCAACTCTGGTAAAACCAAACCCAAATTTAAATCTCCTCTCTCTCTCTCTCTCTCTCTCTCTCTCTCTCTGTACATATGTGTGCGTATCCGTTGGGTTTGATCAGGGTTTGTTTGTGTTGGCGTTGGTGTTGGTGTTTGAGTGCAGAGTAAATGGATAGGTTTCAGAGGGTGGAGAAGCCCAAGGCGGAGGCTACGCCCATAAACGAGAATGAGATTCGTATAACGGCTCAAGGCAGAATGAGGAACTATATTACTTACGCCACCACTCTCCTCCAGGTCCCTCCTCCTCCTCCTCTTCCTCTTTTCTCCATTTCATGTTTTGTGTTTTGTTAAAAGGAAAATGATAAACACGCTGTATCTTTTTAACCTCTCACGCACCTGTATTGAATCTTGTCGGTTGTTTCTATTTAATTTACTCGACCAGATAAAAAGGATGTGTGAAAGCTAGAAAAGGTGTGAAAGCCAGCTTCCTACTCATCATACTGGGTTGATTTATTCACCCCACAAATTGAATTGATGCTACCCACTTAATTCGCATTTCCTTTTTGCTCTGTACATATTAGTCACTATTTTATGTTGGGTTTTAATATGAGGTACAAGTTGCAACTTCCAGACCCCAGTCCCTTGTTTTTTTTTTTTTTGAACAATGATATTATCTATACTAAGAAGAAGGGGTGTGTTTAACCTCACAATGGGCTAATAATAATGTTGTTCAAATTTGTATTTGGCGATAATCGAACTTAAAATCTCTCACTTACGAGAGTGAAGAGAAATACTGAAATACTATTAAACCGTAGTACGAGATGTCTGTTGCCTTTTATTTTCCTTTTGCTTTTGTCCCCTTAGTTTTGTCTTTGTTTATCCTTTGGGTTTTAATTTGTTTTTGTCTGCCCTTAGCTCCTCTTTTATTATCGTTATTATTATTATTATTACTTTTTTCTAATGGTGCACTAAATCCTTTATTTTTTCCGTTAGGCTTTAACATAAATGATTGTATCTGATGTAGGAGAAAGGATCTGACGAAATTGTTCTAAAGGCAATGGGCCGAGCTATCAATAAAACGGTTATGATTGCTGAGTTAATAAAGGTGAGGGACTTGTGACCTCTTCGTAGGCATATGCATGTGCATGTGTTTCACTTTCATGTCTGTAACAGTGTTTGTGTATACGCATTTTCTGATAAAGCTTTTCTGTTTCCAGAGAAGGATTCTTGGTCTTCATCAGAATACGTCTATTGGATCAACTGATATAACTGACGTGTACGAGCCCCTAGAAGAAGGCCTGCTTCCGTATGAAACCATACTCTTCCATGCTACTATGCATATGCACATATGATTTCCTTTCTTGTTTCACTTAAGTGATATAATTGGTTGTATTTTTCTGCAGTGTCGAGAGTACTCGGCATGTTTCAATGATCACTATTACCTTGTCGAAGAAGGAGCTCCTTACATCCTCTACAGGGTAAATAATTTAGATTTTGGTTTCTGTTTGCATGCTGAAGCAACTATGTGTTTCTCGTGCATCTCATGAATATCCCATTTTAGTATTTACTAATGGTTTTCTGAACTGGGATACAAAATTATTGACAGATGAACTGTGCTACTTCTGTTAGGATTTTAAAGGGTGCTAAAAACTTTATAACTTCGATCGCATTTGAACCATATGTAGTTGAATGAATTCTAAGGAATGATTTTAGTGCTGGTTCCTAAAATGCTAATTACATTATGATGCACGGTAGAGCCCAGAAGTGCACAACTATGCGATAAAAATCACAGTGATCATATGAGTATGTGGTTTGAAAGGTGGGAAGTCTATCCTTATCTTTCATTTTCTGTTATTTGATACGGTACAGATATCAATCCCCTCTTCCAGTTGACCAAGTGAAACAGTTGAATGATTTTGAGGACGATGGAGGTGATGTGTTATGTCTTTGTTCATGTTTCTGAGGTTACTTCTATACTATAATCGCTTCAATTAATATTGATTTAATTACATGCAAGCCAGACGGTTCACCTGGATTCCGAGGCAGGGGTCGTGGTGGCCGAGGAAGAGGCCGGGGTAGAGGTATCGCTCTCTGCTCTAAAATTATGAATATATTTTGTTTACGGCGTCATTGTAATCGTGAAGTGGAGTTAAAATTTTGCTTTTCAAAAACATCAAGTACCATTATACCAGTACCCATGGTAATTTACTGAGTTTTTTGTTACAAGTGGCTAAAATTGCTCATTGGGTTTTGCTCTGGTTCATGGTAGCAGGAAACTACAATGGAGTTGGGGATTATAATGGAGATGGTTGGGATGGTGGGCGTGGTTATGGTGGCAGAGGTAGAGGCCGTTCAAGAGGTGGTTCTTTTAGGGGTCGAGGACGAGGTTATGGTCAGTCAGGTGGATACTATGACTATGTCGAAGGTGCACCTGCCCAAGGCCGCGGTAGGTTTTCTATGCTCTGTACTGTTATATTTAAGGGAGACTTTGGATGCGGTCCCTAGTTATGAACAATCTTTGACTGAAACTTTGTTGGTTTTCAATTTTTGATCCAAGTCCCTAAAATTAATTGATAATTTATTTCTATGTACGTTACTATATTTTTTAAATTAAAAATTAAAATTTATAGTTGTTTATATTAATGAGATTTTAAATAAAAACATAATTTGTGGGATTAAAAATATTAAAATATAAATATACTATTGTATGTGTGTGTGTAAACATGGGTACATTCATAAAAAATAACCAAAAAATTATTGTATCAAAACATGGGTACATTCTTCAAAATGGGTACATTTAGCAAAAATAAAAATGGGTACAAATAAATAAAAAAATATGGGTACAATACAAATAAAACTTTAAAAAATATGGGCACAAAAAGAAATTAATATATGGGTACAAATTAAAATTGAAAGGAAAATTGGTACAAATTAAAAAAGGGTTGCAAATTAAAAATGGGTACAAACTAAAAATAAAAATATATGATAAAAAATTTAGCCATAAATATAAAATATACTAATTGTAACATTTTTAATATTAAATGAATATATTTATAAATAAAAAATATTTTATTATTGAAATAATTAATGATATTATTAATACAAAGGACCTTGATAAAAAATTGAAAAGTAATAAGGTTTTAATCAATAGAGTAGTAAAAATAAGGATGAAAACCTAATTAATTTATTTCCTTTAAGTTTCTTCCAATTAAATTTAGTTCTCTGGCTTGCAGTAGTAACAGGAAATCTATGAATGCAAATATGTTAGCAGCTTTATGTTTGCCTCCATGTCACTAATAACGTAGTTTATCAATATTGGATTCATTTGGTTTTTAAACTAGATTTTACTTTTACCCTGGTTGTAAGGACATTATATATGATCAGTTAAGTTCATTCCATACTTTTTTGTTTTGTTTTAATTTTTATGCTTACGGTCTACCGTATCCTTGACTAGTGTGCTTTTATTGTAGCTAATACCGATGGTTTTGACACAATGCATTTAGCTCTCTATTTGCTTGGTGGGGCTTGTTTGAGAACCATTTGGTTTTCAGCTTCTAGTTTTCACTTTTTGGTCAGAAATTAGGAGGTTACGAGGAAGATAGGAGAGGATTAATAGAGGAAGGGTGGTGGAAGGAAACGGAGAAATGCACATGGAATGGTACACAACATGGAACCAAAAACTGAAAAGAAATTTCTTTTGTATTTTTTTATTTTGATTTTGTATGTAACATGATGTGCATTTCTTCCCCCTCCCTCCTACAATACTCTCCGCATTCTTATTCATCTACCCTGCCATCTACTTTCTCTCTATACCTAGTGAAAAAAACTGAAAACTTTAAACTTAAAATCAAATGGTTATCAAATGGGCCCTTAGAAAGTGGAAACTTTTGCGTTCTCAAATAATTAATTCATAAGTATCGTGCTCACTGAATCTTTGGAATGTGGGAATGCTGCTAATGTCGATAAGTTATCTGATAATCGATGCCATTTGAAGGTCTTGCAGGGCGTGGTCGAGGCAGGGGAAGGGGCCGTGGGCGCGGTCGTAATAACAGATTGGATGGACAAGCACCTGCTGCTTGAGCTGGTGTTTGATTACAAGATGTGTGGACTTGAAAAAATTGACATATGGGATGCCTGCTCTGCTTGCTTATGTCTTGGCGAAGTTTGCTGATAGCTATGGGCACCGTCTTTCCCTTTGAGTATTCTAAGTGTTGCAACGGTTGTGATGCTTGACGTTTTGTTTTGTAGGTCGTGAGGTAGGAATACTTTAGTAGTTATTGCTGCTAATCAAGTGTGTTATAAGGTTGTAAAATGATATTTTTGTTCCATAGAAATAATAGAGCAGTACATTCTCTTATTCTTACATGAATATTGCATGCTAACTCCTAACAGAACATTCAGTCTGAGTCTGCCCTCCTTTCAGTCAAATACTTGCAAAGTCTCAACAACTTATTAATAGTAACGTACTAGTCAGTAGGCACTTATCCTTTTAAGGGCTTTAGTATAAAAATATGTCACAAGTTCAAAACTCCCCTCCCCTACCTTTTTTATGAGAAAAATTAAAAAGAAAATTAATGAAAAAGACTTGGGGTACTTCGAATTTTGACAAAAAATATGTAATAGCTTCGCGTTTTCTAAGGGGCAGACAACACTTTGCGGACGTTGCATGGGGACGGAATGTGTGCCGTTGGATGAAATCTGAACGGTTGAATATCAATCCATAAAAATGAGCTTAAGGTGAAACTGGATCATAAAGCACCCGTCACTAATTGAAAACAGTACCCTGCATCAATTCAAAATTTTTGGGATTTAAACACTGTCTCCTCTCAAAACTCTCCATCTCTGGCCAGCCCTCAAACATCCTTCCCGTTCAAAACGCAGTTGTAGTTTGTCGTCTTCGGCCTCACTGCACTTTCACACAGAAGTTTAGAAGTTCAGACGAGTTTGGTTCGAGGGTGAACAGTCGGTTCCACAGAGAGAAAAGGTGTACATATCTCAGAAACATAATTTAAGATTCAACTCCTCTCTATCTCCCCTCTCCAACAATATTTTCCTTTCATCACAACTAGCAAATTCAGAACAAGAATCTAGATGTATAGGTTTCCGATGCTGGAGTGACAGACGATGCAGCATCTCGATCTACGACATACTGGCTGAAGCCCAAATCTGTTGCGGCCTCATGTTGCTGTGATTTTTCGGTTAGGCTCTCGTTATCTTGCCATGGACATCTTCAGTAAGAAACCCACCGTCTTTCGTCAGGTAATTTAATCACTCTGTTTGATTGGTGAGAAAATTGAGAGTAAGGTTTTGTTCTGTAAAAAGTTTTGTTTTCGTGATACAAATGCTGGGCCTTTGTTTGTTTTGTTTTGCAAGTATTGTAACAATTAGTTGATGTTTTGTGTTATACCATATTTAGGGCCTCTTATTTAGATCTCGTACAAATACTCGGGAGACTTAAATGTAATAAGTGAGGAGTCCTTATTCTATAAAAGGACCCCTCACCCTCACAATTGGGAGAGGCCAATTCCTAGGCCCTCTCACCCCCTCTCAAAGCTCTCACTCTCAGAGCTCTCTCTCCCTCAAATAAATACATAATCAGTGCGGACATAGCCTAAACCTTGAGGTGAACCACGATATATCTTGTGTTATTTACATTTCATGCAGATTCACGATCGGATTTATGTTGTTCCAAGACCTCCGGTTTTATGCATCAACATTTGGCGCCGTCTGTGGGAAACGATACAAAACGTTGTGTCGGTTCTCTTTCATTTTTTTCACTTTCACCGTGAATTTGCAAAAACCCAACAACCCAAAGCTTTCCTAGAAAAACCCAAGAAACTAGTCCCATCTCTCTCTCCTCTCTCTCTCTCTACAGATCACCTTCTCTTTTTACTTACCCTCATCTAATCCTTCTCTCTCTTTCTGTAAGTGAAGAACAAGAAAAACTGATAGAAAGTTCATCAGCTTTGGCACCGAAGACTACATCTTTACGGACAGACAGTACCATCTTCCCTCACCAAGACATCATTTTCCGGGAAAATGTACTGACTTTCCATTTTCCTAGAAAATTTGCCAAAACGACCAACAATGGGTAATCGATTTATTTGCATGTTAAGGAAGGACACCGAATAAACTGGACTGAGAAAAGAATCAGTCGCTCGCAAAGGAAACTGGCGGCGGAGGAAGACTGGTTGCACAGGCAAGCTTTGTCTAGGGTTCTCCATCAGCACCAAATGTCTCAAAGGTTTGACGGATCCATGTCTAGGAGGGTTGGGGGGTCCACAAGCTCTAGGAAACTCGCTCTCTCTGATCCATTATCACCCCAAAACCATCCTTCGCGGTGCGCCGCCGCCAAGGCCATCTCTGGCTCATTCAAGACTCTCCGCAGTTAGATTTTGACCACTTGACCGTCGGTTTTGCCTCTGATCCAAGTCCGGACATGGTCAACCCGGATCTCCTGGATCTCTTTGGAGACGATTGGGATTGTGGGTTTTGCTAAAAGTGTTGTTCTTGGAACGCTTGGCGGCGAACCAGAGAGAAACGAGAACGAGAAGGAGAAAAAGTGGCGGTGCTGAGACCCTAACGACAATCCAGAGATGGAGTACATCAAGACCAGATCTTTCTCTCTCTAAACTAAACTTTTTCTCTCTCTGGCTGGCTCTCGTTTTCTCTCTCCTCGAGCGATCCAAACTCTGCTGGGGGACTTCGTGTCCAATGCGATTCTGAGCTCGGGAATCGATGTTCTTTTTTCAGGTAAGTAAAAAAAATGGAGCACAAAGAAACTGGATGCCAAGCAGCCCCTCAAGGAGCAGGAGAAACTTGCTGCATCATCCTTTGGAAGCATTGTCAACGGAACATCAAGCATCAATGCAAATGAGCCTGTTGTTGTGGCTACTACTGTGGATGTTCAACCTCATCCAATGGAGCCACTTCTATGCTTTGATCTCCTCTCCGATGTCATCTCCGCCATTAACGAAGAGCCCAAGGAATCCATTTTATTGTGGTTGCAGATATGAGAAAGAACGAGGAGAAGGTTATGGGGCCTATGTTTCTGAGGCTCCATGTGAATGATGTAGATAAAGGAGGACCAAAAGCTCCTCTAAGGAATAAGATGGCCCTCTATGAGCAGCTGAGCATCCCATCTCAGAGGTTCAATCCTGGAGTGCTGCCCCTTAATGCAAAAGCTTGATCAACCCATTTGGAGGAGGGCGCGTTGTCGACCACCCACATGCAAAAAAAAGAAGTTTTGCTCTGCAAGAGCACATGGGAAACAAAAGCAAAAGAAAACAGCCATCATTTTTTGATTTCTGAGAAAGCAAATGGAGAAAGTACTCGCGGTTTGCATGTGAAGTTATTTCCTGATTTCTGAGAAAGTAAAAGCCATCTACAATCTGAAGACCACTAATTTTATCGGCAAAAGCAGAAGGGGAAAAGAGGCACTCCACGTGATTTCCTTGTCTGCCATTTGCAAAAGAGAAAAGAAAATTATGGGTGTGACCCATTGATCAGAGGGTCGGATTTATTTTTTACTGATGTAATTTATTTTTTCTTATCTTTCGGAGACATCTGTATAAACCTCGTCAGTGGGTAATGAAAAAAAAAAACCGGCAAAGCCCAAAATAAATGGGCTGGAATGTTGTGTGGAGGGCGAATGCCCATATGCCCAAAAGAGCCAGACCCTCTATTATCACCAACCAGGTGACCAAAAGTACGCCCAGTACTTTCAAAATTATTCGGCAACCTGCCGCTATTACCACCAACCAGGTGATCAAAAGTACGCCCAGTACTCCAAATTTATTCGGCAACCCGCCGCTATTACCACCAACCAGGTGATGAAATGTACAACCCGTACTTTAATATCATTTGGCAACTAGCCATTCATGCCACCAACCAAGTGATGAAATGTACAACCCGTATTCTAATATCATTTGGCAACTAGCCATTCATGCTACACCATGTGATTAAATGTACAACCCGTACTCTCCTTCATGCCACCAATCAGGTGATCAAAAGTACGCCTAGTACTCCAAATTATACATGAGCATTACTCATGTCATTCATACATAAACATTCATGAGCATCACTCATGACAAACATACATAAACATTCATGACCATCATTCATATCAACATTCGTGAGCATCACTCATGTTAACATTCATGAGCATCACTCATGACAACATCCATGAGCATCACTCATGTCAATCAACATAAACATTCATGAGCATCACTCATGTCAATCAGCTTCAAAAGCTTCATTTACAGAGCTCTAGCTTCAAAAGCTTCATTTATAAAAGCTCATTCTTCGAAAGCTTCATTTACAGAGCTCTAGCTTCAAAGCTTCACTTACAAAGCTTCACCAACAAAGCTTCAGTGCAAGGTATACAAATACCACCTCCGAACAACCGCCACTTCGGCCCATACATGGATTCAATTTGAAGTCTCTAGCCAACATACTCTATTGACCGAAGACTTGGGGGACTACATTATGTACCATATATTGGGCCTCAACTGGGCCTCATGAAAAATACTTGGGGGACTTAGCCCATCACTATATTGGGCTTCATGAAAAATACTTGGAGGGCTTAGCCCATCACTTATGTATTGAGGAGCGAGCCCTTATTCTATAAAAGGGACTCCCTCACCTTCATTAGAGAGCAATCGCCTTGCCGCGAGCATCACTCCTAACCCATCACTTATGTATTGAGGAACGAGCCCTTATCCTATAAAAGGGACTCCTTCACCATCATTAGAGAACATCAATTCTAGCCCATCATTCATGTATTGAGGAGCGAGCCCTTATTCTATAAAAGGGACTCCCTCACCTTCAACGTCACAAGCCGAGCCAACCAAGGCAACATAAGCCACGAGCCGAGCAGCCTTGCAGCATGTGCTACTTCTAGTTGAGCATCATTTCAGATTGAGCACCGCCTCATATCGAGCATCAGTTCAAGACAACATCTAGTTACTTCGGCCCACACATGGACTGAATTTCAAGTCTCCAGCCAAAAGACTCTCTTGACTGAAGACTTGGGGGACTACTGTTTGTACCATATTTAGGGCGTCGTATTTAGATGTTGTACAAATACTCGGGGGACTTAAATGTAATTATGTGATAAAGGAAGGAGCAAATATGTAATAAGTGAGGAGTCCTTATCTATAAAAGGACCCCTCACCCTCACAATTGGGAGAGGCCAATTCCTAGGCCCTCTCACCCCCTCTCAAAGCTCTCACTCTCAGAGCTCTCTCTCCCTTAAATAAATACATAATCAGTGTGGACGTAGCCCAAACCTTGAGGTGAACCACAATACATCTTGTGTTATTTACATTTCATGCAGATTCATGGTCGGATTTACGTTGTTCCAAGACCTTCGGTTTTGTGCATCAACATTTTGAATGTATAGATATAGCAATAGGGTGTTAAACCTATCATGTTTCTAGAACAGTTTATAAGGTAATTTGAACTTGTAAATTGTATGGACTTTGAAATTTATAAGGTAACTCTTTCTACTTCTTTGTTTATTTGTAATATACCAATTTTTGTTTGTCTCACAGATCCTTGGTGTCAGCCCAATTGAGGGATTTGACATGATCAAGGCAGTGTCTTTGAAAAAACACAAGGAGCGATGATGAAGCAATTGCTGTTAGAGTACGTTTCAAAACTGGAAGGAGGCTTGGCATGGGAACAAACATGTACCCATCTTCCTCATTGCTTGGCCAAGACAAGGGTGCAGCCATAGCTTCCCTCCCTGTGGAGTGTGGACGAGTTGATTGAGAACGCTGATGGATTTGCTGGAGTATTTCCTGGTGGGTTTTACCGGAATTTCTTTGTTCTTTCCGCTTTCTAATTAAACATGAAATCCTTTAATGAGAAGATATAAACCTCACATTTCTTTGTAGCAGTTTGCATTTCCAAAGCAATAGTTATTGGTTTAAATTCAGCCTAGACTCATGATTGCTCATAGCATGAAGGTTATTGGGCATGTTGCTCTGCCTTCAGTACTCGTTTGGCGACACCATGACAATTATCCACTGTTTGTTTTGATTTTTTTGTTTCATTACTAATTAAATGCACGGTTTATGAATGTTCCTAACTGGATATTTGAAACCTTGTCCTAACACATCTTCTTAATATTATAGAACACAAATATGAAATTGTAAAGAGGCTGCAAGAGAGGAAGCACATCTGTGGAATGACTGGAGATGGTGTCAATGACGTTCCTGGTTTGAAAAAAAAAAGGGTATTGGTGTTCCCGTAGGTGATGCCACTGATGCTGCAAGAAGTGCTTCAGATATTGCTCTCCATGAACCAGGATTAAGTGTGATCATAAGTGCATTATTGACATGCAGAGCCATATTCCAGAGGATGAACTATACTGAAGCTACATGTATGTTCATTGAGTGGAGCTGTAAAAGTTCCATAGGTATTTTGTAAATCTTCCCAGGCCATTCTAATTATTTTGTTCTATTTGCAGATCCATGATGTTTCAATTACCATACGTATAGTGGTAAGTGAAGCAACGATCGGTATTTAGATGTTAGTGTTTTCCTATTTTAGGCTCTGTGTTTTGTTCTCATATTTGCTAAGTTTTGTAGAGTTCAGATTTATGTTCATTAGTTTGATATGGAAGTTTGACTTTGCTCCCTTCGTGGTATTAGTCATCGTCATCCTAAATGACGATAAGATTTTCATCCTTATGCTTAAATTAATCAATGATTATTAAGCGATTAATTAGTTGATTAGTAATTATCAAAATAATTACTAATTAGTTAATTAATTTAGTTAATTAATTGGTAATTAATAATTAATTGATTAATTAATTTTGGACTTATTTTATTTTTTTTTTTATTTTTTTTTTGAATTTTGAATTTTCCTAGCTTGTGTGGAAGTCCAAAGGCTTGACATGTGGGGCTTTCTCATGGGTTGATTTTGAATTTCTTTGCCCATGTTGGACTATATAAGAAGGATGAGTTTCTAACTCTTACATTGCTTTCTTTTTGCTCCTTGTGTAATGATTTTTGAAGATAGAGTGGTTGAGAGGGTTTCGATAGTGCTTGACACCATTCTCCGGTTAGTAGCCCTTTCTTTAGATCAAATGCATCCATTCTTGTTGAATTGTTTGAGTTTCTATGCATTTGGCTAAGAACATGATGAACTAGTTGAATTTCCATCATGACTTAGGAGCATTTTAGACTTCAATCCTCCATGTAGTGATAGAGGTGTGTGTTTTTGTTTGTTGTAGATGTCAGGGTCTGAAGGTTCTAGTGATGGGGGCTTCTCTAGCTCTGACTCTAGGTTCGAGCCGTCAAGGACTTCCTTAGAGTCTTATGAAGAGGAAGTTTTAGGTGACTCTCATGATCACCAAGCGTGCCTTCCATCTGATGAAGAGGCGGGTGAAGAGCGTAGGTCTAGGGATAGAGGCTTAGATATTGTTGCATCTACTTCCCATGTGTCGGTAGTTGAGAAGGGTGTCCTCGATGCTATACCCATCTTTCGCTCTGAGTTTATGGCGGACCACTTCAATATGAACTTGCTAGATAGTAGGCATCAGCTTGAGACCTTAAGGGAGTCTTGTTGTATACCCGAGAACGGAGTAATGCGATTGGTGCACGACGAAGAATTGCCTACGCAAGGAAGGGGGGCAGTTTCTGTTGCATCTGTGGTTGCAAAAGATGATTGCCCTCATGGGGTGCATGCCTAGGCAACTCAATCCTGGTCTATGAGAGACTTTGATTGGGACTTACATCATTTGGATGGAGTGTGGTCTAGGTGAACCTTCCTCCCCTCAATGGCGGTATTGGTATAAGATGCGTCCGGTCAAGTCATCCATCGGCTATGTTAAGTGTGCGTGTCGGAGTGAGAAAGAGTGAGCGTATAGTATTTGATAAGAGAAAATCATATTCTACTTGGAAAAACTGTTGGTGCTTCAAGGGTTGGGAGCATGATAGAAGTACCACACCTTAGCGATGCATTTCTACCCACTTCTAGATCGTATTGTAATGCATCCATTGTTTGCATACTTTGTTATTTGTTGTGATATTTACTCGCTTCTAACACTTTGCCTTGTGTAGTGTCGAATGAGGCTATCAAATTGTCTGGACAAGAGCTTGTCGATGTAGAGAAAGTGTTGAGGGTGCCAAAAGAGGATAGACACTTGGGCAAGCTACGACCCTTGTTTCAAAAGTACGATTTCCAGCCCTTATTGTCCGAGTGCCAGAGATGAGTGAGTAAGTCATATCCTACGTTTGCCTTTTTTTTTTTTTTTGAATAAAGTTGTATTCTTCAAGCAAAGTTATATTCTTTACTTTGATTTTCTTTGTTCAGTGGAGAAGGTGAGCAAGAAAGGGGAGACTAGAGCACCAAGAAAAGGAAGACAACCATGGTAGTTCCCTTATACGACGTTTTGTTTCATAAGGGGCTCGCAAGCACAGGGTGAGGCCAGTCCCTAGGCCTAAGTCTCAAGAGGAGGTCCTCAAGATTGATGCCTCCAAGAAGGCTGAAGCTGAGGCCATCGGATAGGCTGTTACCGAAATTGATGAGGAGGAGAAACGACTATTACCTTATCCTCTTAACATCGATCATATCTTTCCTTTGATCATGGAGCACACTGGCTAGGAAGGTGGCCCTAGCTCCAGTCGCAAGAGGAAGTATAAGGAAAAGGTTGATAGCATCCCCTGGAAGGACTTGAAGGTTGTCATGCAGCCAAATAACTTTAGGTACATCAACAATTGCCTTCAGGGTGCCAAGTCACTGTTGATGAGTTCGACGAGCCATTATTTGAGAACGAATCGGATTGTGACAGGATGATGCGGCTATCTAATTTTGTAAGTGTTACTTTGTCATTTCCTTACTTTCTCCTTTCTTTCCTTTGTCTTTATTTTCCCTGAACACTGACGATCATCTTGTCATGTAGGTCATGACCGAGCACGATGATAGACTATGAGAGGTCGAGCGATACAAGGCGAAGTTTCAAGAGAATAAACATCTTGTGGATGACGCCAGGAAGGGGTGCAAAGCTTGAACTGAGGTCGTCCAGTTCAAGGACCAAACCTTAGAGAGGTTGAAGAGGTGAAATGATGAGAACTTACGACTCAAAAAGCAGTTTCGGGTGACTATCCTCGAGGCTTCCAAGGTCAGAGGGGAACGGGATAATGCCCTGGCTGAGGTTTCTAAGTAGAAAAAAAGTCACCCAGTTGAGAGGGAAGCTGCCATGCCGGAGTACTTGGGCTTATCATTAGGCCTCACTGTGCCCAGGAGATTCGGCTTGAGAAAAGGAAATGGATGGCCATTGTTGAGCGATACCATGACGGAGGCATCATTGATAAGTACCGTGAAGAGATGGAGGAGCATCGACGAAATGGTGAACCCTTCATTCTTGAACTCGATCCTAGTAGTGATGAGGAGTCTGAGGATGGTGACAGCATCGATAAGCAGACTCAACAGGGTGAGAATGGTCTCAGAGATGCCGAGGATGGCGATGAAGGTGAGACGCATCATGATGTTATCGAGAGTTCGACCTCAGGTGAGGATGATTCGTAGTGCCCTCACCTCCCACATGCACTAGTTTGTTGTATATATGTTGTGTGTTAAGTAAGGCGCCTGAAGGCTTTTTGTTTATGGATGTTTACAACATTGCAACGTTTATTTTGTTGCTAAGTGCCAAGTGTTTGCACTATCATTTTCGAATGCTTGGCTATGTTTGAATGGATCTTTTGTTTGGATATAACCCATGACTTGGGTATAGTTGAATGAATACACTTGAAGATATTTGTTTATTTGCTTAGTCTTGTTGACAAGATACTTAGAATTTATTTCATGTTGAAAGCATTCATGTGGAAGCTTCGAACTTGAGTATGCGGTGTAATTTAAGGCGAAACTCTGAGTTAGGATTTTATTGTGTCAGGGTGAGACCAAGTGTTTTAGTGCTAGGAATGTAAAAGAGTTAGATGAAGTTGTTTGAATCACCTCTTTATTAAGGTCGTGCCAAATAGTCTTCATTACAAAAGATGACGAATGGCTATAGCTCAATGCTTGTAGAATGTGAGTTTACTTGTAATTTAAGTGATCACCGTTCCATGGATGGCCAAGGGTTTTTCCATCGAAACTTTTGAGTTTGTAGGAGCTAGGGCGACTGATGCCAACAACTTCAAATGGTCCATCCCAGTTTGGACTAAGTGTGCCTTCGCTTGGGACCTTATCACATACTAGTCTTTTCTTCAATACCCAGTCCCTCCACTTTGAAAGAGCAAAGTTTGACCCTAGAGTCAAAGTAGTTGGAGACGTGCTGCTTGTAAGGGATGTTCCTCAAGTGAGCTTGGTCCCTATGTTCCAACTAGATCTAATTTAAGGTGAGTTGTTTGTCATTTTCATTTTGTATGTAGTTTTTAACTCGGTATGTTACTTGCTTAAGTTCAACTAGGACAACTACCTCTGTACTGAAGGCAAGTGAGAATGGAGTTTCTTCTGTTGAAGTTCGATACAAAGGTCGGTATGACCAAAGAACTTGGGGTACAAGTTTTGACCAACAATGTCACATCCAGGCCCGGGTCCACCATATCTTGGGCCCGTTCCACCACCGTAGCACGATATTGTCCACTTTGGGCTTACCATTCCCTCACGGTTTTGATTTTGGGAACTCACGAGCAACTTCCCAGTGGGTCACCCATCTTGGGAGTGCTCTGACCTCCTTCTCACTTAAATTCGGAGTTCCTATGGAACCCGAAACCAATGAGCTCCCAAAATGCCTCGTGCTAAGTAGGGATGAGAATAGACATTTAAGAATCACTCTCTGTACAATGTGGGATGTCACAATCCACCCCTCTTAGGGGCCCGACTTCCTCGTCGGAACACTTCCAGCCAGGGATTGGCTCTGATACCATTTGTCACATCCCGGCTCGGGTCCACCATATCTTAGGCCCGTTCCACCACCATAACACGATATTGTCCGCTTTGGGCTTACCATTCCCTCACGGTTTTGATTTTGGGAACTCACGAGCAACTTCCCAGTGGGTCACCCATCCTGGGAGTGCTCTGGCCTCCTTCTCGCTTAACTTCGAAGTTCATATGGAACCCGAAGCCAGTGAGCTCCCAAAAGGCCTCGTGCTAAGTAAGGATGAGAATATACATTTAAGGATCACTCCCTGGGCGATGTGGGATGTCACAAACAATCATTAGCCTTGTCCAAGATGGTCTTCAAGGTGTGCTTAATTATCTTGTT